CCCGCAGAGACGGCGGGGGTGGTCGCTGCTGGGACCTGGAGCAGCAGGCCTGTTGGGGCCACAGAGCCCCCAGCCCCAGGGCGGGCGCGGGGAGGGGGCAGCCGCCCAGCGCCGCGAGCGCCCGAGTGACAGCCCGGAGGGGCACGGACAGCTGGGTGCTGGCGGGGGCTGACGCCGGGAAATTGGAGCCCGCGCAGGAGCGGGGCGGGGGCCCCCGCTATTTGCGTTGGTGGGTTGCTGGGCGTCACAGCCGCCTGGGCACGGGCTCGGGGGCAGCGCGGCGCCCGCAGAGAACGGGAAAACAGCACTGAAGTGACAGACAAGTTTTCTTTTTATATTTAAAAACATCCCCCCCCGCCCCAAATAAAACAAAAATAACCCCCCAAATAATAATCAGATTAAATAAAATGTGCAGTGAACATACCAATCAACACCTGTATGTGCGGTTCAACACAGTGCTTAACAAAACAATATACACAGGGGAGAGGGGGCGGGCACGGGCATCACTCCAAAAATTAAAAAAAAAAAATCAATTTCTTGTCTCTTAATTATGTCCATATAAATATATCCAGGGAAGGAGGGTGAGAGGAAGGGAGGGCAGAGAGGAAGAGAGAAGGCAGAGGGAAGCGCCCGCAGTCCAGTGTGCTCTGTGCCCATCGCGGGTCCTACTGGGAGCTGGCGCGCTCCAGCACCCGCAGGTCGTAGTTCTTTTTGGCCACGCGCAGCTTGAAGCGGCTGAGGGAGTTGTTGAGGCGAAGGGAGGCGTTCTGGGCGGCCAGCGGGCTGGGGAACACGGCCACGATGGTGTATAAGGCAGCAAGGTCAGTGTGCCGGCCGTTCTCTGGAGTCCCGCCGCTGTCCCCGCTGCCCCCGTCTCCGCGCCGCCCCTGAGTCTCTTTGAGCCACTGGATTTTGGCCCCGGCCATGGCGAGCTGGGTGAAGAGCTTGTCGGCCTCCGTCCGCGTGATGCCCTCGGGCAGGTCCGTCACCTCCAGCACTCGGCCCAGCACTGCAGGGCAAAGACAGTCCGTGTTGGCCGTGGCCGTGTGCTGGGAGCCCGTGTCCCCACGGTGCTGGGCTGGGAGCTGGAGCCCAGGAGGGCAGAGCTTTGCTGAGCGCCCACATGGGGATGCTCTTTCTGAGCAGCCACCACGGACTCCTCAGCCTGGCTGTCCCTGCGGTGCCCGTGCTGATCCTGCCGACACCTGCGTGCCGGTGCCCCGTGCCCCGCACCCTGCTTCAAGAGGAGACGGAGACGTCTGGTTGCTCACGGCTCCGGCAGCGCCGGGCTGTGCCTGGGCTCCCGCAGCTGCTTGGTGCCAGCAGCTCCCGCTCGGCCCGGCTGCTGGCAGGGAGCTCCCCGCTCCCCGCTGCCCTTTCCCCAGGTGCTTCGTCACGGGGACAGCCCCTTCCTGCACCCAGGTCACAGCACCTCTGCTTGGTGCTCCCTAAGCCCCTGCTGCCTCCCGGCTCCTGGCGGCTCCTCTCCGGCCTCGGGGCTTAGCGGCGTCCTGGCCACACGGATTCTTTGCTAATATTAACCTGGCATGTAATGAGCGCCGGCGAGGATGGGGCAGCTCTCCAGGAAGCAGCTCTTAAAGGGCCCCTTGCAAACAGCTGCACTGGGTGGTGGTGACACAGAGGTGACACAGGGGACAACCAACTCCAGCGAGCCTGCAAGGACTGTCTCCTTCCAGCCCGTTTGGCTCAGGTCCTGCATTGGCTGCAGGGAGAAGCTGGGCACGGGCCTGGCCTCCGCTCACAGACACAAGGGAGTGGAGACTCGGCCTGGGGAGAAGGAACAGGGTCGGGGGGGCTTTCTCCCTTTAAGAGAAATGATTCAGCAAGGATTTCAGCCCTGGCAGCCCCCTGTGGAAGATCCCAAAGCCCCAGGGATATGTGAAACTGAGGCTGGAAAAAGAAGGGTCACTTGGGAAGGCAATGATTTCATGGGTCTGGACAGTGGCTTTGTGCTGACAAGCGGCGTCCTGCCCCTCCTGCTCCGCACCCCATCACACCTCAGCCAGCACAGAGGCAGCAACAGGGCCCAGATGTCCTGGTGCTCAGCACTGATTCCGCACAAACAGCTCCCTGCTCCTTCCCCAAGCTCCGGTCAGCACAGGCAGCACTTAACCTGGCTCCAGAGCAGCCCGTGTCCCCCACAACCACCCCAGCAAAGGGGCCTGGCGAAGGGGGTGAGCAGAAACCAGAGCGACGTCTCTGCCACTGCCGGGTGCTTCCTTGTGACAGGGAGCGGGTGGGGGGCAAGGGAGGAGGGTCACTTGCCTACGTCACTGGTCCCGAGATCAGTAGATGCCGACTTGAGGGCCTGTCTCTTGCCCCGGTTTCCGTGTTTCATTCCAGTTTGCCCCTTCAAGAGTAAAAATGGTAACGTGTCACCTGAGGAGGCACCGTGGCCTGGGGAGGCCTCACAGTGCACAGAGCAAGACCAAACATGACCAGGCCATGAGTGCAGAGGGGAAGGAGACACTTGGGTGCACCCTGGCACCTTTGGGACAATGCCATGGCGGTCTGGGGAGGTTGGAGGAGACCAGGGCACAGCCACGGCCGCAGGACACTCAAGGGACCTGGGCCAACAGTGCTTCTGGACAAAGCTGCAGCAGGGTGAAACTTCGGCCCGAGGCTCCCAGGAGAACCGTTCCCAAGGGCAGTCCTGCCACCCAGGCAGGATGGCGCCCACTCCCCTCTGACTGCCCCTGCGCACACAGAGGTGCCCGGCGGGCCGGCTCCGGGGCGCCACGCGGCCTTACCTGGTGCGCTCCATAGTTGGGCTGGTTGTGGAGCAGGGGCGGGGGGCAGATGGACAGGTTATACTGCAGCGGCTGCCCCAGCAGCGAGTAACGCCCGTCGCCTGCGGAACAGGAGCAAGTGTTCGCTGGGGGCTGGCAGAGGAGCAGCAAAGCCCCAGGCCTGTGCTGCCCCCACGCTCCCTCCTTACCTTGTGCTGGGCCCATGGGCCGGGGGAACTGTGTGAGGACCGGGAGGGGGCTCAGCCCTGTGCAGACACTGTTGAGGTTGGTGACAGGAGACGGCGTCGGGGATTGCGTGGGGGATGTGATGGGGCTGTTCAGCTGGGTGCTGGCCTGTGGGAGACAGAGGGTTAGATGCCCCTGGTGCTTGTGCCCAGCCCCACGTCTGCCCCACCACCATGGGGTGAGCCCACCTGCCCTCTCCCAGCCCTTCCAGTGCGGGTGCTAGGGACCAGTCTGCTCCCAAGAGATGAGCTATCTTCTTCCCAGCCTTTCGATACCTGAGCACTGCTCTCCGGGTTGTAGAGGTCTCCTGGCTTCTGCCCCCGCTGCTCCAGGCTGTAGTACTTACAGTGGCTCCACTGCACCACGGGGGGGTTCTGGGGGGCCTGGGGGCCATTGGGTACATTCAGCTGCATCACAACCACACCAGGGCCTGACGGAGACACCCCTGAGGGGAGGGAAGAGCAACAGAAATGCTGAGTCTCTGGGTGCTGCTGCTTTCTGTGACAGCAGTGACAGCACCTTTGCAGCGTCCCTCGCAACGCTCCTCTGTGCTCTCCTCCACCATCTCTGCCAGAGAGGGCATGGAGAGGCTCTGCCGAACCTCTGCAGAAAGACATCCCTCTGGCATCAGGTTACATCAGCCAAGTGATGACTTTCAACCCGCGAAAAAGGTAAGCAGAGGAAAGAAGCTGAAGGGAACTCTGGTCTCATCATGCCAAATCCTTAGTCCAAGGCTCTAGCACGAGCTGGGCACAGTGCCCCCATACCTCGTTTTGCAGCTCCTGCTCTTGCGTCAATTCACCCGGCCCCAGCCCATACCCTGCGCTTGGGAACAGGGCGCAGAGCGCAGGCTGCTCCCCTCATCCTCAGCCCTCCCCTGGTCCCACCAGCTGCCCTGGTGACACTAAGTCACAGCACCAGCAGAGGGAGCCCAGTGCCCACAGCAGCTGCCGGGGCCTGCGCCCACCTCATGGGCCCCTTGCAGCGAGGGGACCTCAGGCACAGAGCAGCAGTGGCTGCAGCAAATGTCCAAGCCCTGCAGGGACGTGTAAGACCAAGGAAACTCCCTGTGCAGAAGCTGGGAGTTGGCTGCTCTGCTCACTGCAGCCCCCATGCCCCTTCCAAAAGCCAACCCAGTAGAATTGGTGTCAACATTGACTGGAGGTCTCTTACCTGAATACTGCTGCTGCATCTGTGGCGGGCTGCAGGGCGAGGGGGACTGTGGCATCTGGTACTGCTCAGAGCCAGGTGGCTGCAGAAACCCCACCGAAGGGCTGCGGAGCAGAGTGAAGTGGTGAGACGCTGGGGATGGGGGAAGCTGCCCGTGCCAGCAGCCCCCTCGCACAGGAGATGCCTGGAAATGCAGCTGCTCTGGGAGCAGCACGGAAAGCACCAG